CTGCCGACAAACCGTGGTAGAGATCGATGAAATTTTGGGGATTTTGGCGACTGGGAGGTGTGTTGGTGTTGCCACAAATGAGAAAGTGTTGTGGTTTACTAGTTTTAGGGATTAAAAAATCCAGGGGGTGTTTGTCATTTTTTAAAATTTAGGGATCAGGCTGCGAGCCAACTCGAGCTCGAGTCTCAATTTTGAGGCTCGAGCTCGAGCTCGACATTGTTGTAAACGAGCCGAGCTCGATAAGCCAAAAGCTCGGCTCGGCTCGGCTCGGCTCGTTTACAGCCCTAATCCAGTTAATGTAAAAGTGTGGGAAACTATTACTAATTTATGGTCTTCTTTTGCAATTGATCCAAGAAACTTAAGACTTGGATTGGCAGCAGATGGATTTAATACATTCAGTAATTATTAAGTTCCAAACGTAATTGTTTTACAATATTATTAGTCACGTATAATCTTCCTCGCTGGAAATGCATGTCAAAAGAAAGATCTTATGTTAATCTCAAGGTCAAAACAATCGAGAAAAGATTTGGATATATACTTGCAACCAATCATAGATGATTTGAATGAGTATAAGATTATAATACATCAACTAATTTCAAGTTCAGTTTGAAGGCGCTGCTAATGTGGATCATTAATCATTCCCTAATATATGAAAATTTGGAAGGATGTATTACAAAGGGAAAATTTGCTATTATGTGGTAAGCACATAATTTTTTGAGACTACCATTCAATATCTTTTTACTTGACATATAGGGAGGTAAACTATTTATTAAAAATGTTAATAAATTAAGGGATTTAAATAAGCTAACCACAAATTGGGAGGGTTAAACAAAATTAACCAACATCCCAATCCTTGTAACTTTATGACTAACAACTTCCCAACACCTAACACATTTTCTTAACTCTTTCCTTTGCATTTATCATCATGGACACCAAATCAATTAGTCAATTAGAAAAAGATAAAAAATAACAGAACACATACTATAGTAAAATGAGATCAATGTAATTTATCTGGATTGTATTGCATAAATATAATTACCAAATTATAATACAAATCTTGATATATGATGGTATTGAAAAATAGTGAAGTGTAGATGTATTTTGTTGATTATTGGAGTCAATGAATGTGCATCGATCACTTATTGTGAGGTCGACCTAGTTAGCATGATATTTCACGCTAAGTGGTGTTAGGATTATGCCCTAGAGATTAGATTAATTTTTTTGTGGATAAACAGTATTGAATAAAATGTTATTCATATTATAACATGCAAATAAATTAAGTTTTATATTAAGTTAAATATGTCATTATCTAAGGTCTCAAGGCCAGTTCAAGAATCCAAAAGCTATTTGTATAAAGAGGTTATACCTCAGAGATATAGTTATGGTCCTTATGGACTTACTTAAATTAAGTTCACAGCCTATAAATAAATAAAGTAAAGGCTATTCCCTTTTGATTAAAATAAAAACTAAGACATGATAGAGATGAGGGTCAATACCTTAGCTAGTTCGGAGATTACGATCTATGGTTGGTGAGGACATTATTATACAATATGGAATTCACTCTTAGGAGAAAAAGAACAGCACCTCAAAAGTGTTTTCGAGGACTTGGATAATGAATCTTAGCCAAGTATTTAATGATTAAATTCATTTAATAAATACTAGATTTACACATATATAAATCATGCTTGTCTCGATTATCCATTAGATGAAAAACTAGCCTTAAGGATAAAGATGTAATTGAAGGGGTAACTCGGTAATTTCTCTCCTCTCCAATTATTGGTATTATGTGAGGGTGCATATGTAAATATATTTTATGGTTAATTTAATCATGACTAAATTAATAAAGCTTTCGTGATGAGTATTTAATTCAAGAGTACAACTTTGGACCTTCAGTGGAATGGACCCACGGTTAAAAGATATTGCCCAGTAAGTTAAGGGTTAAACATAATTGCTGGGTCAAGTCTGTGGGAGCTTGCTATTAAATTATATGTCCATGTTAGTCCCCTGATAAAATCATGATGGTAAATATTTTAATTTATTTTAGAACTAAAATAAAATAAAAATATTGATGGATATAAGTTTCAAACCTATGACCTCGAACCTTGATTTACTAAATGAAACCATTTTGGTTAGGCTATGAGCTTATACCATGTATGCTTGATTTAATTATTAAATGGCTTTTTCCTGATTTTAATAATTAAATAAAATGCAAGTTATGGGCACTGTGTTAAACAACCAACCCCAAGTGAAACCTAGCAAATTTGTTGGGTCTCGGGTTGCCGATCGGTCACCAAATACAAATCAGCGGTTGATTGGTTGGTGGCGACAACACACCAAATGCAATTGCAATCATCCACTGAGTCATTCCCCAGAAAATCCACCCAATATCCGGCCAAAATTGGTTCGATTTTAACTAGATCTCACCACCGCCAGAGTCAACAACCCAGACCTAATCTCACCACCATCAGCACCGACAACCCTCCCCATCACCACGAAAATACTCCTCTCAACCTTCTGACCAAAACTCATCTCACCCACCCCTGTTCGCCTCACCTTGTCAATCGCTTGTAAAGGCAAGTTGTTGTTGTTGCCGGTTTTTTGGGATTTCTGGTCGATTCACTCACCGAAAATCACCTTTGTCGCTACCATTGTACTCACTAGCCCTTCGTCTTCAAAAGCCCCTACATCTCGAACTTCAATTGTTTACCGATCACCGTCCCTATTTCTAGGATTTTCGGTAAGTTAGAAAATTACTAACCTGGCCCAGTGAAGGCCATGGGTCTGAGCTGAGCCCGTTTTAAAACAATGGTTATGGATTGTTATGCCTAAAAAATTAGGGTTGACGTTAACCTACGTCAGTGGACACTAATTAGAGTTCAGGAAGGATTTGTACTGCTTAGGAGTTGCCACGTCGCTCCATGACAGAAACAATATGGATGTCATCAACTTGGCAGATTCAGGTTTTGTCTATGAGTGATAGATCATCACCTCGAATTCCTCTATCATAAATAGAGGACTCCCCCTCTCATTTTCGGGATTCTGATCCTGAACCTTTCTTCTGATTGTAATTTTTATTTTTAAAGCAAAGATAACCAATGAGAAAGAGACTAACTTGACATTCTCTCTAAATACTCGGTTATTGCATCTCTGCTCACTGTTAACTATGCGAGACCTCTTGTAATTTCTCATATATAAAAGAAACAGTGAATGTAGATTCGCTTTAGGCATCCAAACCACTTAAAAAATTATAGGTGCGTTTGTTTCCCTATTTTTGCCCTATCATATTCCTATCATTTACAAAATACACATTTGTTTCTCAATTCTGAAAATACTATTATATTTTATTCAATAATTTTTAAACCCCCTAAGTTTTTTAATTTAATTAAACGCGACCAGATCTAGCCGTCAATGACCAGATCTAGCTGAGATTTAGCCTTTTTCGACCAAATCCACGATTGGAAAAGGCAATCTCTGCAGATGATTGGCCAGATCCAGCCAGTCGTGTGCCAATACGGTGACTTCAACCACCCTCCAATAGTGGTGGTTGGCTGCCGGTATTTAATGGGTGTAGGGGTGTTTTTATAATTTTTAATATTTTTATTACAAGGGTGTTTTGTTTACCACCCAACTCTTACTTTGTTAAAAATATTATCCAAAATACTAAAACAAATGCAACTCATACATCTCATTTACTTTTCAGTCTTTGTATCTAATCACAATTATTCATATATAATTTATGATAACAGTTTAACACTTTACATGTGTGAATCGTTGGCGTCAAAATCAAGTATTAACATGATTACGTGGGTGTTGAATTGTGACCTCTTGCCTTTGAATTTAGTATTCCTTTTAAGGCTTAATTTAAAAAGCTAATGCACACTCCGCCGAAAACCTCTGACACCGTTGCACAGATCGTCAATCGGCGATCCCAAATTCCCAATGATGCTGACAGTGTCAACCAGCTCAAGCGGTGGTTGGTTACTCTGCTGGCCAATTATTGTATTTTTTATTTCTAATTTTTTAATTTTTCCTTTGTTAAACTAATTTGAAAAATAATTATACAAAAAGTGGGTTATGAAATATTTTATTTATAAAATTATTCAAAAGTTGCTTATGCTGTGTTAAGTACACAAAACCTTTAACTATTAGCATTTATTCTAAAATTAATTTTTAATAAAATAATAGTTAAATTAAATTAAATTAATAATTTACTAAATGCAATATAAATTTTTTAAACAGTGAAAATTAGCCAACAAGGTCACTGCTCTCAACCTCCATCGGTTGGATCGCCAATCAAAATTCTATTCAATGAGCCATCGATAAGTCGGAGGCTGTGACAATAATTGAACTTTTTCCGGTGTGTTATGACAATGACTCCATTCAGTAGATCAACCCCAATGGAGCTAGATATGTCATCAAATATGTTGCTGGGAATGGCGTCCGGCCATCGTTGGCTAGTTCTTAGTTTCAAAATTTTAATTTTAATATTTAAAAAAATAATGTATTTTTAATAAAAACACTATTTAGGTCATTTTTTATGTCACACATCATTTCCTTTAAATATAGCAATTTAAACATTAAACAAATCAAAAGTTGATTATTTATATTGAGTGAAAAGTGATTAAAGGAGACAACAATTCTCAATTAAGTCTTCATTTATTTTTTTTTAAAAAAAATTATTTAAAATAAATTTAGAAGTTAAATTAACTTTGTGGTATTTTTGTAATTAGCCTTTTAAAAACAGATTTTGAATCCTAAAATCTAGACAAACTTACTTTTTCAATTTTTTTTAATAAAATATATTATTATATAACTTCTTCAAAATATGTTTATCCAACGTATTTTAAGTAGTCTATATGTATATATATATATTTTGGTTATTTAAATTTTAAATTTGTTTTAACTGCAACAAAAGGACCATTAAACAATAGAAGTTGGTAGAGGTTAGAGGGTATAAATGACTTTAGTCCGTCAAACATATAAAGATGCTGAAAATATAAAAGTGGGAAAAGTAAAAAGGTATTAAAGGGAATTCGAGGAAGATTTGAGTGAGAAAAAATGAAGAGAAACGAGGAAGAAGAAGAAGAGGAGGAGGAGTTCGAAGAAGAAGAGATGAATAGAGGTGGTAAGAGCGAAGTAAGGAAGACGTTGGGAGTTTTGATATGTTGTACCTTAGTGTACTACCACTGTGCCTACCGAAATTCAAGTCTTCTTTCTTTACTCTCAGACGTTCTCATCGTTCTCCTCTGTTCTCTCGCCATTCTCGGCCTTCTCTTCCGCCAAATGAACATCTCGTAAGCACCCTTTTCAAATTCTCTCTCCCTATATCCGATTTTTAATAATTCAGTGTCAGAATTGACCTATGTATTGGGTTTGTTTTAAATTTATTGTCTTTGGGCTTATCTAATTGTTGGTGAATGTTATGTTACTTGTGAATCCCAGTGGTAACGGTCCTAATTGAGTCCCACATGCTAAAGAACGGGTTTGTCATGTGGGTTTAAAACCACGTTTTTAGGGTGTGTTCTACACGTGTGGTTACAATCCGGTTTGTTAGGGTGTGTTCTATCTATGTGTGGCTGTTACAATTGGTATCAAGAGGACCACCCTCTGGGAAATCCTCGTGGTGGCACCTTCCTGGGTTGCCTCATCCCCTGGAGGTATAAAGTAAGTCCTTCCAGCTGGGTATATCGAGCTGCCCTGGATGTCAGTTCCAGGGGGTGGATTGTAACAATCCTAATTGAGTCCCACATCGCTAAAGAATGGGCTTGGCCTGTTGGTTAATTACCACATGGGCACCCTCCCCTTTCAAGCCGGTTTTTAAAAGTGATTTCTAACCATTTGGTTAAGTCCTTGCAGCCGGGTATATCGAGCTGCCTTGGATGTCAGTTCCAAGGGGTGGATTGTAACAGTCCTAATTGAATCCTACATTGCTAAACAATGGGCTTGACCACATGGGCACCCTCCCCTTTCAAGTCGGTTTTTAAAAGTGAGTTCTAACCATTCGGTTTAGTAATTTACAATGTGATATCATATACTGATATCCGTAACGTTAGTTGTTACACCAGAACAGTTACTTGGATCACAGTTAGTTAGTAATCTATTATGTGATATCATGTACTGATATCGGTAACATTTATTAAATTGTAAATGAAGTAATGCGACAATCCTGGCAGGTAACATTACTCGGATGGCCTCACAAGTTCGTAAAGAAATTTCAATATAGTTTTTTGTGTTATGATAATTTAGATGAATTGACCTAGGTATTGGCTTTCTTATAAATTTATTGTTTATGTGAATCCCAGTTCTGTTACCGTAATCAACAGTTTTTAGTAATATTGTGATATTGGTAACATTACTTTGTGAAAGTAAGATTATTCTACAGTGCTGGCAGATAAGGTTACGGGCCAACCTCACAAGTTTTAAACATAATGGAAAAGAATAAAAACCTCGCTTTTAGTATGCTAGAAATTTCTGGTAAATGAAATATTAATTGTAGCTCAACTTCATTTTAGTATCATACAAGGTGTTAATGTCAATTTCATGCTATAACTGGATATAGTAGCATTTACTACTTCTATGCTGTAAATGCCTGGTATTGTTAGTACATTTCTTTCTCTAGTTCTTTTTTCATGTCGAGTAAATAATGCGGGTTTGTATGGCTGCTGAGAAAGTATGTGAATTTTAAAGGGAATCATGATTTTAAATATTGTTTTCTGTTTATGGTATCAAGATATTGCAAGTCAAGAAATCTCGAGTATTCTGTCTACTCTTTGTTCTGTTTTTGCATATTCCGTGAAATTGCCTGTGCACAATTGTAATGTTTTGTATGTACTCAAATACTTAATAAAAACTGTGTTTCAACATTCATTGTTATTTTACAATCATGTGTAGTTGCTCCTTATATCATATCTTTATTAACAGAACAGTTGATACAGGTGTTCATTATGCTGTTTGTTTATGTAGAGTCTGGAATGTACATGGGTTCCATTTCAAAAATGAACTTCTAGTTTTATCATGACAAACCTGTTTTGTAGGGTACCAGTGGACCCACTTGAATGGCAGATCTCTCAGGACACTGCTAATAGCATTGTTGTGTGGTTTGCTAATACCGTAGGGGCAGCTGAGTCTGTTTTGAGGGTTGCTGCAACTGGGCATGACAAGAGACTGTTCTTTAAGGTACTTAAGTTTATATCTATTCAAAGATTAAGGTTCTGTGTACTCTCAAGATTTCAAACTTTCTACTTTTAGTTCTTTGAAATCTATTTGTACTGGAAAAAGAGCTCTGTCATTTATAATTTTAGTTATGACCTGAAGACAATAAGATATAATCTTTGTAAGGTATGCTAGAATGCATAAGTAAACAGCTAATATTACCAGAATTTCAGGACTTTTTAGGAGTCGAACACAAGACCTCTCTATCAAATAATCCCAAATGCTAAAGTCCAATATTGCGATTTAAGCTCCCAGAGTTACCTTTGCAGGTAAAGACTGTAGCTTGGGAAAAGGATAAATGCACCAAGATTGTAACTGCTTTGGCACATCAAATATAAAATTGGCATAACTAGAGAAGTATGTGAAGTTATATCCATGGATGACTAACTTTTGTTGCCTCTATTATTTTTATTTTTAGGTAGGCTTTTGAGTCTGTGTATTATGGTTTTTCTTTTCTATTGCTCTTTTATTCTCGTTTTACAGGTCTAGTTTAGGGTAGTCGTGTGTTTATATTGGGTTGTTGCTTGCCTCAAAAATGTTATTTGCAGATTTCAACAGAATCTTATGTTTTTTTAATAGTTTTGAAAATTTGAGTTCTATGTTTTCTATGGGTTCAGAAAATTGCAAAATCATAACTGCTTTTTTATTAGGAAAAGTTGCCATTCTCACTGCTTTGTATAAAGGCCTGAAGTTAAGATATCTAAGTTTTTTGAGTATTTGAGTCCCATAGTCGTATACATATTGTATGAAAATGATAAAATTTCTGATCTGAAAGTAAATATTCAACAGATAGTTTCATTGATTTGTTTTGGCCAAACCAATGAAGTTCAAAAAGTGACTAGCTGTCAGTTTTAAATTATTAGATTCAGCAGTAGATTCATATTCTAGAGAAATTTCATAAAGTTTTGATGGTCCTTTATGGACTTGGAGATTCATAGATTTGATGGTCACTTATTAAATTCTAAAATTGGTAAAGAGAAGATGAAAATGAAGGTCAATGAACTCACTAACAGAACGTGCCAATCAAACTCAAGAAAGTTGTTTTCTTCCACGTGCTGTTGGTATCACTAATAGTTAAGCATATATAATGGAAATGGTGATGGCAGACATGTAACAAAGTTTGAGAAATAATGAGCTCTTCACTGGCGAATGCAAGACTGAGTTTGTTGTCATCGATGCCAACTGATACTAATTAGGCTGTCTGGAACATACGAAAATAGTATTAGTTCATTGCTAAGTGCGAGTATCTGTCTATTCAGATCTACTTAAACTGCAATAAAAATTCAATTTGGAAATTTGATTTTTACATGTTATAATAATTTGAGGTTGTTGCTTCTATGTTTGGAACTTATAGTTGAAAGTACTTTAGTCACTTTTGATTCATGTTCAGTTAAATGATTGTGTGAAGTATCAGAAACAAAAGGTTCTATACATCATTAGAAGTGTATGCTTTTGATATGTTAATGGAGCGTTCCCGAGTAGACCGTTTTAGATCCTCCATTTTGCTCCAGATTTATTTACCTATGCTGAGATGCTCAACCTAATCAATAGCTTTTCATTATTCCAGTATTCTACCTATGCTATTTATTATTAAATGCTCCTTAGCAAATTGTATTTTGTTTGTAGTTTCCAGTCACTAAATGATACTTTTTCCATACTGGAATCAATTATCAAAATATATTGATGTTCTTTTGTTGCATAAGATGTTACCAAATGCAATTGAATGCTATGTATACTTTTTTATGTGATATCTCGAGACTGTTCTAATTGGGTTAAGTAATGATGGGGTTAAATCAAGATGTTCTAGTTGGGTGAATAATAATAGGGTTTAGTAGAGTGCATAGTAATTTCTTTAAGAAGCCACAGTTATTGTTTGGCTTAACCTTTGAATTGCTTTCCTTTCCTCAAGAGTCTTTTCGGGAAGAATCACTGTGTTTAGTAGGCCTATGTAATGGGGCAATCTAGGAACAATCCATCCAGGTAATTCTACATATGGTTTATGTTAGATTCTTATGGGACCTAGACAATGAGGGTGTAGGAAAAGTGAAATAAGGTAGCAAGTAGTGGATTGAGGGGATGTTGGCAGGAAACTTCCATGGGTTTAGGCTGGGACAGGTGGTGATTGGGGGTTGGGACAGCAAAGGAATTCAGTTAGGGAGAGAGAGAGAGTTGGAGGATAAAAAGAGAGGGAGAGAGCAGATTAGGGCAGAGAAGAATATAGGGAAATTTGAGAGGAGCTAGCCCTTGAAGTTAGCAATTAGGGAGGAGTTGGCCCTCGAAGTCCAGCACTATCTTTGTTTCTTTCGGCTGTTGTTGGATGGTGTTTTGGCTGTTTATCATCTTGTATTTCTTTTGCTGATTATTAATATATATATAAATAACATTTTCTGGATATTTGGTTGCTGGTTGTGATTATTATTCTAGGTTTAATTGGCTGATGTCTGTTAGTGTTTAAATGTTTGGTGAGTTTTTGGAAAGGTTCCTTCAGATTCCTAGGATAACGTTCCTGAAAAAGTAGAAAGACACATGAAGTCACAGTCCCCGTATTTGTCCTCAAATAGTCATTTACTGCCTATCTTGCCCTAAATTTATTTTTCTGTTTTGAACGATAATATCGAACATGATAAATTGCCATTTGATGATTAGAATGAATGGGAGGAATTAAGATGTAATTGAGTTGAGACAGACAAAATGATTTTTGGGTCAGTATTGTTATGTCTCTGAGGTATGTCAGGTTTTAGTTTCTTCTTCTAGTTACTATTTTTAAAGCTTTAGCGCAATAGCTTCATGATGGTTTTTTAAAATATTGGGAGCAAGAAATTCAAGGATCTTTAGAGGGTCCATCATAATTGCCCCGTATATTTTTTTCTTTGGTCTTTACAGTTTCCTTGAGTGTTCCTTAGCATTGGCAAATATCAGAATATTAATATAATATATATTTTTTTTCAGGTTGTTGTTTGTCTCTATATACTATCAGCCCTGGGACGACTGGTCTCTGGTGTTACAGTTGCTTATGCCGGTATGTATATCATTTTTCTTTTAGATACATCTAAGATTACTTGCAAGTTTTTCCCTTAATAATAGCCTCGATGAAGTTGCTTGCATGAATCACATATCTGTTTGATTGATTTGTTTTTTTCCTTTTTGTTCTTTTCTAAGAACTTTTTTGATATATTGATGATAATGTCATTTGTTTTGGCTATCCTAATCACTTAAGAATGACACAGAAATGCTTGATCTTTTGTCCTTCATGTTTGACGTAAGGGAAGAGTTCCATTTTGAATATCGAGACAGATTTTATGCACACTTTCTTTTGCACATCACTTTTTCACACTATTCTCCATCTAATTTAGTTGCATGGCTTACTTCTGCAATATGATTGTGGAAAATGATACACGTGTTGCCTGAAAACTGATAAGCCTTATTGTTTCCAAAAGTAGTAATTTCAACAAAAACATATGGAACTCCAATCTTTTCTGATGCTTTAAAGCACTCTTATTGTTCTGTCTAGTGCTTTTGTAATTAATACTCTCTGAAACAAGTAGTCATTACTAATGGAACGGAACTGAATTGCAATTATTATCTGGAGAAGTAGTCAACTTGATTAGGATCTTGTTTTTAAGTAAAAGAACATTTAAAGTATGAACTGAGATCACTTCTAGCATAAAATACTCGAGTGTTTCCGTTGTCTTAGCGTATGATTTTAAGTTGCCTTTGACCTTGTACTGAGTGATCATTTCTGATTGTTATCATGGACTATTATAGTCATGGCATACACAAATTTGGTTTTTGATTTCTCCTTCCTTGTCTTTCGCCGAAAACAGGATTATGCTTGTTCTGTCTTTACATGTTTGCTGAGAACTCACGATCCATCAGCTCATGTGTGTCTCGGTTTCTAAGGCGCAGAAATAGCACTGCTGCAGAAGTAGACAACATGTAGTTGCCAATTTTGTTTGTACAGTCAATTAAATACATTATCTTCTACGACTTGTTACGGAGAAATTTACGAATATTTTACCACAACAGTTAAAAACAAGATAAAAAATAACGTAGGACTAACCGATAAATAATCATCGTGTATGCTTGCTGCTTCTACTTCTGTAACTCTGGTGATTCTCTTGAAGTAATGAGAATTGAGGTTTGGAGAATGATCGAGGGTTCATAAAACATGTTAGAATAAGACTATAGTAGCCAAGTTCAGAAAAGTTGTATGGCAATATGCATATGGGAACTTGCGGTAAGGTCATTAGTGTTAATTTTGAAAGTTTGTAATTTACAGAGACATACTGTTTCTTAACCCGTAAAACTATGTAACTTCTCAAATTGATTTCATGGAAGCATTTAATGGAAGATTCAATGGTTTTGATCGATAAAACCGGGTCTTACCAAGAACTGCCAACCCGGGTTCAATCTTTTGAGATCCGAACCAAAATTTTACTTAGGAATGAAGAGCAATTATGGTACACAACCAATTCAAATTCACTATGTCAACAATAGATTGGCAGAAAAAGGAGAAAACTGTGAAAAGAATGAAATAAGAAAATAATGTCCATAATTATAATATTATTCTTCAAGAATAATTTTCCCAAGAAAAGTTTTTAACAAAAACTTTTTGTTCTAATTGTATTCTTTGCATTGTTCGAACCCGAGTTGTGTGAGACCCACTAAGGTGATTGGGTCGGTCTAATCGATGCCGGTGACGTAGTAATGAAAATATGTTATAAATCACAAATTAATCCTTTAAATTTTAGTATATTATAAAATTGCCGCGAAAATTAATTAACCCTGAAATTTTAATTTATTTCAAAAATGCCCCAGTCAATTAATCCCTAAATTTTAGAAACATTTTAAAAACACCCCCCAAAACTTACAAGTTAGTCCCTACAAGTTTGAAAATTATCAGAAACCCTAAAACCTAAACCGCACTGGATAGTCTGTCGGGTTCCAATCCAATAGGCTGGTCCGATCCGGGCTTTAAAACAGAGAGTCATTGTATAATTTGATCAAATATGTTACTTTTGAATATATGAAGATTATTACAACACTTTTTAAGAGAAATCTTTTTGACCTATTATAATGGCTATCATAATCTCAGAATAAGCCTTTAAAGATTCCAAAACCAATTAGAGGTGTGTGTAAAAGTGAGATCAATGAAAATCTTCTTACATAAAAACTTTTAAAGAGGGAGAATTTTATTGACCATCCTAAATTTTAAAAGATTCCCAAACCAATGAGTGCGTAGATAGACTATAAAATTTCCTTTCCCTCTATTTTTTGGGTCAAGAAAAGAGAAAAAGATGGGAATTCTCTTTTTTTTNTGGTACTTTTGAATATATGAAGATTATTACAACACTTTTTAAGAGAAATCTTTTTGACCTATTATAATGGCTATCATAATCTCAGAATAAGCCTTTAAAGATTCCAAAACCAATTAGAGGTGTGTGTAAAAGTGAGATCAATGAAAATCTTCTTACATAAAAACTTTTAAAGAGGGAGAATTTTATTGACCATCCTAAATTTTAAAAGATTCCCAAACCAATGAGTGCGTAGATAGACTATAAAATTTCCTTTCCCTCTATTTTTTGGGTCAAGAAAAGAGAAAAAGATGGGAATTCTCTTTTTTTTGTTTTTTTTGTTTTTTTTTTTTTTTGTTTTGTATTTAATCCCAGGCGACATACATTGCCAGTTAGATGGTCTAAGTCTAAAGTGCCTGTGAAAAGGAGGTGTCAGCAAGAAAGGACACTATAACTATGGGGAATCTGAATTCTCAAGTATTGAGATGACTCTTCAGAACTGGCTAGAGTTACAATGATAAGGATAAGCCTCTTATCCGAAAAGGCAAAAAGGGCTAGCGCTTGATATCATATTTATGTCATTCTCACCTTCGACACTATGGGCATTATGCATAAATACAAAAGCAATTAGTTTTCCTAACATTTTCAAGGCTCTGAAGAATAAATCAGGCACATAGGGGAAAAATTCTTTAAGTGATATAAGAAACCTGTCGATACAAATATCAAAATATTAATGGAATGCCAAAATTGGAAGCTGATCAAATATTTTGGTTAGGCATTGCAATGGGCTCTATGAAAAAAGCAGCCCTCAATCCTGCTTGACGCTGATTGATGTCAGATTGTCATTGGTATATTATCCACCGGCTTTACCCGCACACAAGCACCTTCCCCCTCTAAATTTTGAGAAAATACCCCAATCTTGGACTCGACTATGTAGTATGTACCTGTGGCCAGATTTTGCTAGATTTGTCATAGGAAAACTTTCTCAGAAAGCAATATGTCTTTCCAAGCTTCATAAAACATCCAGGTTATGCCAGACGATGGCATGACTTTTAAACAGCTTGCACCCCATCCCCTGTAAAGGCCCATCAAACCCTCCTCCCGAATAACTTCAGAAAGAGCCGCTGCCATGTGAGGTGGACATTTACCCTGCAAAGCTCCTACCATCAGCCGCTTTCTGGCAACCTCCAAAGGAAAGCTGATGGTGCTAGCTGTCAAACCTGACCAATTTAATACATGAGTAAAAACTCCAATTAGCTTAGGATGATAACATAATAATGACAACAATCATCATTTACCGTAGAGGCCAAACAAATGAATTCAGCTAGTCCATTGGACCTCAACAGTTTGCTTATTGAATGTTAGATCTCCCTGTTATTTTAAACAATGAAATATGCCAAACCAATGAAAATTACAACTTGCAACAGAACAATCTCGCAAAATTCTAACAAGTCTTTTGGCTCCCCATCAGGAAAAACCAAGATCAAATGGACAAGACAGGTACACGAGAATAAATTGATCTCATCAAATTTCCATAAAAAATCTCCTGAAGCATAAAAATTATTCTGATTCCCAATTGACTCCCCAATCCCACTAAAGTCAGGATCTATAATTTTGAAAACATGAATCAGAAAGAAAGGAAGAGGGAAACCATATAGTCAGGCCATATTAGATTAATGAAATTCTATGTAATGTTATTCAGAGAAACCAAAAGAAATTTTTCCCATAGGCCCAGAAGAACTAAGCCAAGTATCTCACCTGAAAGAGCTCCAAGAAGGAGCATCTCTCGCCGATTTAATGTTTTTTTCTTCTTTGATTGGCAGTACGAGTTCTTCATTGTCTCATACATGAAATAGTAACATGTACTGTATGGGAGCATCCCAATCAGCGTAGGTGAAAGACCAGCATAAAAAGCACCAACCCCACCATCCTTGTAAATCTTGCTGATTGCAACACTTAAAGTAGGATATATGTCACGACTCACAGTCAACCGATCCTGCAGTATATTTCAAGGAAAATAATCAGTTGCATAGCAAAAAATTTTACAAGAAGAGTCACCCAACAGTAAATTCAAAAAGAGAAAGAATTTACACGACAGTTTCATTAGGTTAAATTGTGTTTCAAATGTTTAAGACAGCCCATCAATATAGGTCATCACTCAACAATTTACCAAAGCAACATCCTCACAGGGTATGAAGTATCATATATATCACGGAACGTTCACAGAATCGCAGCAATTGGTTCCTTTATAGTTTATTAGAGTGGCAAAAACAAAAATACAATTACACTTCATTTTAAATCTTCTCTTTTTCATATAGCAAGACAATTTTCCATGATTGCAAATACCTTCAAAACTTCAAGAGGATGACACACAAGCGTACTAACAACTCCTGCAGCAGCACCAGCCACAGCAATCGGAGAAATCCAGTTGAGCGAAAAATTCAGAGTGACATGACCAATTTGCACCTTTGGGCATTCCTCTTTCCTCCATTTCTCTTGTGCTGATGTCATTACTCGCTTCACACACTCAAATGTTCCAAGCTCGATTGCCTGGGTAGGAACTATACGGAGCATATTGATTGCATTGCCAGCCCACAATCCTTGCCAACCCTGCTGTTCAATGATCTCAATGAAACTACCAGAAATATTTTTGGATCCAACACCAACCACCATCCTTGTCCTGCAAATCAAATTCTGCATCAGCATTATTTTTAAATTTTTCATAAAGTAGCCATCATATAAAAGTAATAATAAGGTAATGATCATTGAGACATATGTACATGAAAACAGAGTCATAAAATGCGACTAAGAATTCAATTATTAATGAACTGAAAAAGAAATAGAAAAAATAAGCTAAGCCAACCTGATGGTCTCAAGAGGAGCAAGAACAGCTTTAGTCATTGCCCCTGCTAGAGCACCACTGAGAAACTCTCCAACTTCTCTCGTCTTCACAACATCCTGAATACATTACCAACAACAGAAGGCACATTTCACCCATTCAAACACCAAAGATAGTGACTTATTGCAAATTTATTCGTTACATTGCCAAGATTAAAATGAGCCTATCAACCCATCTGGCTTACTTTGTTTTCAAGACCAAAAACATAACAGACAATCATTTACAGTAAAGGAAAAAAAATTATCATGGATTTCTAGAATACTAAAAAAATTGACTCTAGAATACATATAAAGAAATATGAAAATTTAAGGCACTGCCTTTTTTCAATCATTTCTTTCAATAACAACTCAAGGCCTACTTACCTTATTATCCTAGAAATTGAGGCACAAAAGTGTGATGTACTAATAAAATGATAAACAAATAAAAACAAATAGATCATCAACAAAGTCAATCAAGAAAGAGTTCATTAACAGCAATTACAGTAAAAAGTAAGAAAACAAAAAACATATTCTATCTCTTTCCACAAAAGAAAAAAGTATGGAAATACATCCACTTTAAAAAAACTATATAAGCCATTCCTCAAAGTTCAGGTTTAAATTAAACCATGTTACAAATAATAACAATAATAATCAGTTTTCAATTTTTAGTTCTCATCCAGAAAAGGTTCCTTTTCTTTCTGCCATTTACTCAGTTTTCTCGCCAACAAAACGGCAAAATTGAAAAAACATTAAAACTTCAAAAGAAAAAAAGAAAAAATGAAAAACAGTAATAAACTCAGATCTCAACAGATTAATTTTGAGAAAAAACTTTGCTGTCTCTTTTCACCATTAAACACCAAAAAAATAAGTACCCTTTTCCTTTCCCCCACTTTCTCAGCAACCAAACACCAATAACCAACCAACCCCACCAAACCAAAAAAAAAAAAAATCACCTGAATGGCAGTCCTGAAATCAGGAAGCTGAAACCGAAGCTCAAAAGGAGAGGGCACAACATCTTTCTCAAGCTCAAGCTCTTTAGGCAGCATCATTATACTATAAACGTCACCAAAAACCCCGGCTTTGTACTTCTTCTTCTCTGACTGAGTTTCAAAATCCATTTTTTATTATTCTCAGTGTTGTCAAAAACAAAACTTTCCTTGGTTATATAAATAAATAAACAAAACAAAAATCAAAAACATGTAAATTGACTTACTTGACGAGATGGGGATTTTTGGGGCATGGACAAAAGAGTGAGAGAGTGTGAGAGAGATATTTTTGTTGTTTAAAATAAAGTTTTGATTTTTATTTATATATGAATTTCTGGGTTAGGGTTGCTAAATTAGTAAATTTTGGGCGCTATTTTTGATGTCTTTGACGTTGCTGTTATTTGTCTGGGCCCGACCACGCTTTCTCTTTTTCTCGGTTTTTGCTCTGGCTGATACCCCATTTTCTATGAACTCAAAATCTCGAATAATATCATTTATTTATTTTGGAATAATTTTATACCTATCTATAGATTGATCCATTTATTTTATTTTCTTCTTTGAGATCGATTTAAATGAATTTCACTCAATTCTTTAACAAAATACCGAATACCCGTCTCAAGTGGATTTTTATAATTTTTTTAAAAAATATTTAATATTTTTTTATTTTTTAAACAAAACGAATAAATTTTATTGTAATTGATCTCTTAGAGAGAAAATGATGTAAATCTTTACTATCTTATGTTTGAATAAATTTCAAAATTTATTTAATATTTTTAAAAATTATCAAAAATATTAAAAAAGCATATAAAAAATTATAAATCATTTATAGGTATATATTTAAAAAATAACCTCGAATAATGATATATATAATATTTAATAGAAAAAAATTAAAAATAAACCTTTACTATCGTATATTTAATAAATTTTAAATTTTACTTAATATTTTTAAAATTATCAAAAATATTAAAAAAATATAGAAAATACAAAATTACTATATATATATAACCTCAAACAATGATATATTTAATAATTTTCGTAAATCGTTGGAGTGTTCAAAACTTAAGGATTGGAAAAATAAATCAACCCATTTAATTTTTTTTGGAAAAAAATTGTGAAAAACTTGTTCCATATAACATTTTTATTTATTTATTTATTTTTTTTTGGACATTAAAAAAATTGTTTTCACTTATTGCTTCTTAATAAGGAAAATCGACAAAATTAGAAAAACATTGTAAGGTTGTTTTCTTCATTTTAAAAGATTTAATTCTCAAAATTATAAAAGCACACATTTTTATTTGCTTTTTATGGAACATTTTGTTTCTTTCATTTTTTAGTGATTTAGTTCTTGCAATTATAAAGGAATTTCTTATCGTTTAATTTTCTATAAATATTTTTAATTTGGTTTTCAAAAATATTAAGAATATTAATGGTATATGGTAAAAATTATATTTTTTAAAATTTTTCATTAAACGCGTTTTTTGTTTTAATTTTGAGAATATTATATTTTTAAAAAAGATATATCACATAACCTTGGATATATATATATATATATATATATATATATATAAAATGTATATGCACTTTCAGGCTTAAATGGGATTTAATTTATTTTTTTTCCTTTTCATTGGAGAGATAAATGGATACAATACAAATCCCTTCTTTGGAAATTGCTAGCAAAGAGATTTCTATCAAAAGCCTAAATAAAAGATAAATTTTAATGCACCTAATGTGTATATGCTTTATATAATGTTGTGAATTATAAAAATACTTCAATATATTACTAAAATCTTATTATACTAATGTGGTTAAATTATAAATGATATGATATTACCACCTGGACTGCCCTATTATTTAAGATGATTTTAAGAAAAATAATATAACTCTTAAAAATAAATTATGATGATCTTTTTGGGTAATCTATATTTAATGTGTTAAAAATATTTGACCAAATAGAAAATACAAAAAAATATATAGGGTTAGTGGTTGTTTAGTTTTATCAACTCATATTACATTTAGAAAAGCATTGCATGCCGCCCTCTTTTAAGGCAGATTTTAATAATTTTAGAGGCTTTCATAATTTCATATGATGCTTTCTAAAATTTTTTTTTTTTTTTTTTTGGTAATTAGGGGTGTTCAAGTCATCTTATGTCCACGTCTTAACTAATCTTTTAGAGTCTTGAAATTAACGATCGGATAAACCTCTAGTAAAAAAAGAATTGAACTTAAAATCTTTTGAATAATATATTCAAAAGTCTTGTTGGATCAACCGATCACCCCGGGAAGGTTTATTCTGAAATTATTTTATCATTTTTTCAAACTACCATTCAAGACAATCAAAAGTTTGCCAATTTGGTCAATGAAATTGGAATTGGAACGAAAACATAAGTAAGACTTTTCCAAGTTGACTGCCAAAACTTTCCAAATTCAAGAGGAAAAAAAAAAACAATTTTCCGTCTTTTAGTCAATGTTTGGTTACTGTTTCCCGCATCTGACAAAATCATTTTATAATTATGAAAATGTTTTAGTCAAGGCATCCTAGTTCCTACATTAATGAAATGATTCGTTATTGACTGAATTAATATTATATAAATAAATATACAACAACAATTAAACATGGTTGGAAAATAATTAACATCACATGTCTTAACTAGAAAATTAGGCTTCGTTTGGCTCAATTTTTTATAATTTTTAGAAATTTTTTATAAAAAACATAAAAAAATTTAAAATTAGACGGGTATTATGATGTAGAATTTGAAAATTAATAAAAATACCTCGTATATTTATTTATTTACTAAACACTCCTATAATAAAATATTAAAAGTTAACAAAAATACCCTCAATCTACCCAAAAAATATGGACAACCAGCCACCACTACCGAAGGGTGGCCAAAGTGACCATATCCGTCAGATCCACAGTGGATCTGGTCAAAAAAGGTCAGATCTACGACTAGATCTGGCCATTAACGGCCAGATCTGACCGCATTTGCTCGTCAACGGTGGCCAATGTATGGTCAACGACGACCATATGTTGGCCGTCGTTGACGACTGGCTACGGCCAAAAGATCTGGCCGTCAACGGCCAGATCTTTGGCCTTAGATCTGGCTTTTTTCGGCCAGATCCACTGTGGATCTGGTCTGAAAATGCTAGATCAGTGCACTACCTGCCAGATTCAGCCGATAATACACAGTTTTACCAGATTCTAACCATCTTCCGACAGTGGTGGCCGGAATCTGGTAAATGTAGGTTGTTGGGGTGTTTTTATAATTTTTTAAAAAAATATTTAGGGGTATTTAATTAAATTAAAAAATTTAAGGGGTTTAAAAAAAGTTGAATAATATTGTGAGTTTTTGCAATTTTACTGTTTAACTTTATAGGGGAATGCTAATAGTAGTATTCCTAAAAAGGAACCAAACGGAGCCTTAATCTTTATGCTTAATGGATAAATGGAATAATGACCAGGAGATAAATTGATGCCTAAGGGGGAAAATTGTTATTACTGATACCTTAGAAAGTAAATTGTAATAAACTCAACAATAAATTATTTCATGAATAAAATTCAAGAAATTCCTATAAAGTAAAATTACAATAAAAATGTTAATGAAAATAAATACCAAAGGTTAGTGATTATTTTGTTTTATCAACACATAATATTACTTTTAGAAAGTATTGTATGCCATCTTTTAGGCAGTTTTTATTAATTTCAAAGAGTCAATGATACTTATATTGGATGGATGCCATTATCTTAACGTATCTACCAATCCTTCAAGACAACCAAAAGTTAAAAAGGTTGCCAATTTGGTCAATGAAATTGAAACGCAAACACAAGTGTATATGACTTTTCAAAGTTGAATGCCAAAACCTAGTGATGGCAATGGGCCGGGCCGGGACCGGATATCCCTTGGCCCAAGCCCAAGCCCGACCTCATGACACAGGCCCAAGCCCGGCCCGAGCCCGCTACGGGTATGATAGGCAAAGCCCAAGCCCGGACCGACGGGTTTTTTATAACCGCAGGCCCGGTCCAAGCCCGCCTTTTTTAATAATGTTTATTTTTAAATATTAATAAATTTCAAATTTTTTTATATTTTTAATTTTAGAAATGGTTTTTAAATATTGATTGACGCTAGTTTCCACAAATAATTTAAGCAATAGGTGAGCAATTAAAACTCCATAATAGTTGATTATACTAACTTTTCAGCTGTGCATAATATGTTATGGTGAAATCCACTTTAATAAGTTGAACTAACCCTCTAACTCATTTAAAGGCAATTTTAACATGTTAAACCTTTAATATGAGATGAAAATTGAGGTAGGGTTTGGGAAAAATGGATATATATATATATATATTATATATATATATATATATATATATATTATATATATATATATTATATATATTATAGGATAATATTGTAATTAAATATATAGTATAAGGTAAATTAGTAATTATACTAAAATTTTCGGGCCGGGCCTAAAGATATACCCATGCCCGGCCCGTACCCGATGTCGGACCTTAAATCAAGCCCAGCCCAAGCCCAACTCGCCAACCTCGAAGCCCCCCCTTTCGGGCCGCTGGCCGGGTACCCGAAATGTCGGGCCCATTGCCATCTCTACCAAAACCTTCCAATTCAATAGAAAATTAATAAAAAGTTTATTTCCCCATAAATTATCAAATTCCCCTTTAAATATTTGAAAACAACCATTTAACCCTTGTTGTCACTATTTCATCATTGCTCCTTTCATATGACAAATACATTGATACTTAATTTGTTATAGTTTAGACTCTAACAAATACTATCAATAGGCGATACAATTAAGGATGGGCACAGGCCAGGCCGGGCCGGACCCCTGTCCAGCCTTGGCCCGAAAGCCCAAGGGGATTCCCTAATCTTAGCCTGTACCCATTGGGGGAATCCCCGAATAAAGGATGTTCCCCAAATCCCCGAATTCTCCGTTTGTTCTTTTTGTGTCTTTAACAATTTTCTCTCCAAATTATAATAATCATCCAACAAGAAATTAAATTTATAATGATTTATTGATTTATTATAATCAATCAAACACCCAAATAATATATTCACACATATATACATATATTATGTATTAACAATGACCATAAATAATATCATATTTAGAGGTGAACATATGGGCCGGTTGGGGGCCCCCCTAACCCGGCCCGCCAAAAAGAGGGCTCAAACCGGCCCGCCTTCATGGCGGGCCGGGTTGAGCCCACCCACCACCCAGCCCACCCCGGGCGGGCCGGGTTACACTAAGGTACCCCCGCCCGCCGGTTGCTATTTTGGCCTCTTTCAAGAGGCCCGCAACCCGGC